CCCTCCGTGCTTCCCGATGCCTTTGCTCTGGGTGCCGTTCCCCAGTCCCTGTGCAGTGTGCGTGTGCGTGTGCGGTGGTGCGTGCGTGCGTGAGTGGTGCGCGTGTGGTCATGCTGACTTTGGTGTACACGCCACAGGCACGCGGCTGTTCGAGGAGGGCTATGTCAACAACGCCATCGTGGCGCTCGAGACCGAGGTGAGGAGGTATAGGCCCCCATCAGCACTTTACACTCACTCCCATTCCCGCCGCCGCGCTTGTTGTTTGGTTTCTGGTCATTGTGTTGGTTGTTTTGTTGGTTTGTTGGTGATGATACTGTTTGGCTCAATTGCGTCTCACCGGCTTGGCTGGGCCAGACACCCCATGTCGGCCGACGCCTGGGCGCTGATGGGCAAGGCCCACGCCGAAAACGACCAGGACGGCGAGTACGCACCTCTGCCCACCGTCCGCATTCGCCAGGCCACACTGCTGGCGTAGCTCACACTGTGTATGTGTGTGTGTGGCGGCCGTGTTGTGTCGTGTGTCCTGAGAAAGAGCGATTGCGTGTCTCAAGATAGCGAATGCGCTCAACCCCAACGATCGGGAGGTGCTCGTGAACCTGGGAATCTCCCAGGTGAACGAACTGAGTGGCGCCAAGGTAGATCCTCCCCGCTTCACCCTTTCTTACCTGATCCCTGTTTTACCATTTCCACTCACTCGTACACAACTGTGACTCTCGCCCGTTGTGTGTGTCGTGTGTGTCGTGTCGTGTGTGTCGTGTCGTGTGTGTCGTGTTGTGTGTATAATTGCCAGGCGTGCCTCTACTTCGCCCAGTGGTTGCGTTTGTCGCCGTACAGCTCTGTGCTCCCGCAAGACTTGGAGAAGGAGATCGCCAAGCAAGGTGCTCCCCATTTGTGTCGACCAACCGAGCTGAACTGGGCTGGCCAGCAAAATTGAAAAGTTTAATGTTCAATGGCCGCGTGCAGCGCAAGAGGACACTCCAAGCGCTTCTGCCTCAGCGCTGCTCAACTGGCAGGAGAGTTGGGACCAATCGGACAGCAACCGTCCCGACGTCCGGGTTCTGCTCATCGAGGTGCTCAAGAGCGCCCTCGAAATCAACCCCAACGACGCCGACCTGTGCATCATTACGGGTACCTATATCTCTATTGCTGTGTGTGTGTGTATATATATCATTTCTGAGTATATTGAATAGTATTGAATAATAGAGAATCAGATTTTAAAGTAAATGTTCACCCACATGTTGGCAGGTGCGCTGTACACGGCCTGCTATTTGTTCAGCCTGGCCATCAATTACTTTGAGGCGGCCCTGCGGACCAACCCGAGCGACTACGCCCTGTGGAACAAGCTCGGTAACGTCGCATCCCCTCCCCCTCACCTTCTTCTTCGACAAACAAGCACTCATCTGCGCCCGCTTCATGTTCATTCGTTCATTCGTTCCAGGCGCCACCCATGCCAACAACCAGAGCCCTCGGCTGGCCGGTACTTGAGAATCCCCACGATTTGAAGCAGTTGTCTAGATGGACATATGGATCGGGGGCACGACACTGACGTAACTCGCATGTTTGTATCGCACGTGCGTCGTGTGCGTCAGTGCGGGCCTACACGAAGGCGCTCGCGCTGAGGCCGGACTACGTGCGGTGCCTGGCGAACGTGGGTATCGCCCACCACGCCGCCGGCCGTTCTCGCTTCGCCTTACATTTCTGGGCTCGCACTTTCATGTAAGGCCGGCACCCTACACACGCACACGCACACGCACACGCACACGCACACTCACCACCGCACACGCACCACCGCACACGCTCTAAGTATTGTTTGGCGGATCTGTCCAGGCTCAACCCCAACTCGGGCGTGTGGAACTACATGTGGATGGCCGATCCCAGCCTCGGCAGAGACAAGGACCCCAACCGCGTGTCGGCCTACCTCATGGAGGGCGACGTGCCCGTCGAGTTTGGCGAGAACGACGCCGACGCCGACGCCGCCGCACGGCCGGACCGCACCACCGACTTCTTGGACGAGTGGGCCAGTTCCAGAGATCGGGAGGCGATGCTGAGAGCCAATCTCCAGCGCGGCGAGGGCTCGGGGATCGACTTTGCCGATGATGTGCCGTGGGATGACGAGCTGAGCGCGGCCCTTCTGCGTGACGCTGCAGAGGGTCTGCCACGTACGATGACGGAGGAGGAGGAGGAGCACGACGAGAAGAAGGAGAAGGAGAAGGAGATTGAGACCGAAAAGGAGTCGTCGACGAAGAAGAAGTATTCGATGCAGGAGCTCATGGAGCTCATCGCCGAAGGCAAGACTCCCGAGGACGTGCGACAGATCGACGACAAGTTCGCTCCCATTTCTCTTTTATTTATTTTATTTTATTGATTTATGTCTGATTTTATGTTCTTATTCATTGGTTTTTTATTTATTTTTCATCAGGCCGCCAAACCCGGACGCGCTGGTGAACAAAGGCGACCGACAGCGCCCACTCAAGGTGCAGCCCACTTATAATTATTTTATTATTATTACTGTAGCCAAATGATTTCGCAAACTGATCGCAAACGTTTGCGCCAATCCTTGTCAGCCGTGGGAGCGAGCGGCGGCGGCAGCGCCACCCCCCGCGGTGGTGCTCTCTGCCAGCGGCAGCACGAGCACAACCGCCAGCCACGCCCATCCTACAACGGCAACAGCGACGTCTCCCTCGTCGGGCGCTGCCACCGCCGCCACCACGGGGAGCGCCCCTAAGAAGGCGACCAACGCCGGCTTGTCCATCTACACCGTCGATTCGTTCACTAAGGAGGTGCGTTCATCCCTCACAACGCACGCACACGCACCAGCGCACACGCACACGCACACGGCACGCGCAGGCGATCTCATCCCGTGGCTTAATGCAGGCATTTGCGGGGAATCCGGCGGCGGTGTGCCTGGTGCCGCCAAGCGTGGAGCTGAGCGAGACCACCATGAAGCGGATCGCGCGAGAGATGAACCTCTCCGAGACGGCCTTCGTGCAGCCCTTCCCCGGCGTACCCTCCCTTCCCGCCCAGCAATAATAAATGAATAGATAAATAAGTAAATAGATAAATAAAATAGTTTCCAATAAAATTCGATTTAAAAAATAACAATAATAACAACAACAAAATAACACTTTTATTGACCTCACTGAACAGGTGCCCAACAAGTACCGCTTGCGATGGTTCACACCCACCACTGAGGTGCGCTCGGCATGACACGCGGCACACGCAACACAGCGCATGCGGCACCGCACACGCACCACCGGTGACACATGACACTGACTCCCGTGATGCTCCAGGTCCATTTGTGTGGCCATGCGACCCTGGCCACGGCGCACGTACTCTTCACCGAGGTCGGCGCCACTGCGCCCGCGCTCACCTTCAGCACCCTCAGCGGCGACCTCGTCGTCGAAAAGGCCGACGCCGCGGCCGACGCCGACCCCAAGTCGCCGCTGCTCCGCATGGACTTCCCGCAGGGCAAGCCCCAGCCCACCCGCCTGTCCGACCACCTTCTCGCCCAGACCCTCGCCGCGCTCGGCCTCGCCGACGCCGACCTCGTCTGGCGCGAGCCCGCCGCCGACGCCGACGCTGCGGTGCGTGCGCCGGTGACGCTGGTCTGTCCGGTGACCAAGAAGCTGTTCGTGGAGATCGTGTCGGTCGACAAGCTGGTGTCGCTCAAGCCCAACGCCGACGCGCTGCTAGCGCTGCCGTTCGAGGCCGCCGGGCTGCCCGTGCGCGGCGTGTGCGTGATGGTCCAGGGCGGCCGCGACGACCGCAGCCGGCGGCCGGGCCTCAACCTCGCCTTCTACACCGACATGTCCTACGTGCCGGACCACGTCCCCTACGACTTCGTCACCCGCTACTTTGCGCCCTGGAACGGTATCTACGAGGACCCCGTCAACGGCTCCTCCCACACCGCACTCGCCGTCATCTGGTCCCAGGAGGTGCGCACGACACGACACGACACACACGACACGCACGCGCGTGGACTGATCTGTGTTTGGTGGTGTGCTCACAACAACAGTTGGGGAAGGAGCGGTTGCGTTCGTTCCAGGCGAGCGCGAGAACTGGAGAGCTGGAGGTGGCCCTCGCTCCCAACGATCGCACCCTCATCTTTGGCCACGCCGTCACCGTCATGGGCGGACGCCTCCGCGTCTAGGTCCACCACCACCTCTCTGCCATGCGACCACAAAATGAACGTTTTGATTTGCTCAATGCTCGCAGTTTAGCGTCTTCCCCGGTTGGTCGGTTTTGTGTTTTGCTGTTAAATTAATTGGCACTCTGGGCTGCGATTGGTCATTTGGTGGTCGGAAAGGAAATTCCTTTTATATTCTGAGAAACTGGGAGTCTCTGCTCATTTAGGCGACGGGGATGTTCCACCTGAAGGAGAAGAACTGCTTCTGCACGGAGGTCTGGACGGCCTGGGCCCAGAAGCGGTACTGGAGGCCGGTGCGGGTGACGTAGGTGTAGTCGAACACGAGGGTCTCGAAGTCGCGGCAGAGCATGGGCTTGCCGAGCGAGTAGCGGCCGCCGTGGTTGTCGATGACGGGGTTGACGCCCAGGATGGTGTCCATGGTGATGTCGCCGTTCGAGCGGGTGATGGTGAAGCTCAGCTTGGTGTTGTCGAAGCCCTTCTGGGTGAGCTTGGTCTTGAGCTGCTCGATGACGCCGGCCTCGACGGTGGTGTTGCCCAGATCGACGTTCTGGGTGATCTGCACGAAGTAGTCCCTGAACTCCTTGTAGGTCGAGCGCTCCGAGTAGAAGGCGAGGACGTTGGAGAAGGCGGGCTGCGACGGGTCATACTGGCTGTCCTCGCAGAAGAAGAGGGTGGCCTGCGCGGCGTTGATGACGAAGAAGAGGGCGAAGAGGGCGAGGATGGCCTTGATGTTGGTGATGGTATACAGGTAAGGTACAAGTAGTGGTGGTTTGTTGGTTGAATGATTTTTTGCCTGCCGTTGGGCCGTGGTATAAAAGCTGCGCATCGAGGTGACCAGGGCACCGATACCCGGTTGAAGTGGGAGACCGTGCCACGGAGGCACATCATCGCCATGAACAAGTTTCGATCTGCCGGTGATCAACACCCGGGTAACTGAAGAACAGGCCAGCACTCGAGCAACCGCGAGCGAACAAGTTTTTTTCGCGAACACCATCGGCGTAAAAGTGGCGTTCCTCCGCGGGAAGAAACAAGGAAAGAAGAGAAGAAGGGAATGCTGTTGATGAAGGAGATGGAGATGGAGTTGTTCTTCAACCAACACCTGCTGGGCGCGACTCCGTAGTAGTCGCGTCGCCGGCTTTATTGTGCGAGAAGAGGAAGAAAAGGGAGATCTCTTATGTACAGGGAGAGAGATAGAGAGGCTGGAGAGGATACGTTACTGGGGGTGTGAGTAGGAAAAGGTCTCGTATCGACACTCTAAGTGTGAACGTGGCGTGGGCTGCTAAGAGGAGGAAGGAGGAAGAGGAGGTGGCAAAATTGGTGGTGGGCGCGGCTTCGGGGGTTTGTCGATTGACGACGCCGACGGGTACGGAAGCCGCGCGCGGGGTGGAGAAGGTGAGAAGTGGCCGCTTCGGTCAGCAGGCGGCCGGGTGGGCCGCGCTCACCGCATCCGCCGCCGCGCTGGTCCCTTCGAGCAGCAGCGAACCGATCGTCACCGCCGTCGCTGTGGCCGTCGGCGGCGTTGGTGTGGTGCTGGTCGACGACGAAGTCGAAGCCGAGGCCGAGGCCGGACTCGAACTCGCGGCGGCGGCGGCGGCGGCGGCC